GGGGGTGAATGTTTTGAGTTAGTAATTAGAGTTGGGAGATTCATTTCAATATACTTTTATCTCTACGAAATATCAACTACGGTCAAGACGACATTATGTCATTATAAATTACAAACTTTAGAAAAAGTTAATTATTTCCTATCTTTTGATTAGTAAAGAAACAAATCATCATACTATATTATATCATATCATATATCATATACTATATTATAAGCATGAAGACTTTTAGGTGAAGTTATTTTACTAAAGTAACCTTTAAAAACTAAATGACCTTTATACCCTTTAAGCAAATACTATACCAATAACATTTTTGGACAAATCTACATACATCTCTCTTCATTACTATCGATGTTATTGAACTCCTTGAAGTGACATGAATTTTCACGCTAAGTTTGGTTAATTTTCAAATAAAAAGGCAATTATCACTAATCTATATCTTTATTCGATAATTATATATAATTGTGGTATTAATTAAGGTGACGTGGCATCATTAACCTTTAGAAGCCACCTTTAACTCTTACTAAAATCTCAAAGATGCTAAGTAATGGATAAGTTCGTAAGATAAAACCGTTTTTATTTTTCAACTAAGTAATAATAATGTTTGTTAACTTGGAAGCTCAAAAGCTACAGCAGTTTGCTTATCGTCTAAATATATAAAAACAGAGAGGCAAGTAACTCTATGCTTTAAATAGATGAAATATAAGATGGGTTGGAGCCTCGGAGAGCTGGGAGTGGAAGACGTAAAAAAGGACAGTGAAAAGAAGATTAGGTTGATCATGAACCAAAATTATAGGAATGAAGTTTTAAACTTCTTTAAGATTTGCAAGTGTCCATGATCATTACAGTTTAACAAAATTGGTTCCATAATCATCTTTTAAAAGGTTATAAATTGGGCGTTTTAATTCTTGTCTTGATATTATCCCATCTAACCTTTTCTCATCCTTAGTAGCCATATTCAAAAAGCGAACGAGTTCTTCTTTAAAGCAAGTATTTATCTATCATTTTACTATTTTCAAATTCATTTTTTTAAAAGATGTAATCATTATTTTTGCCTTACATTCTTTTATTTAATTTAGTGTGCAAATAATTGATTTATCATTCTGTGTTTTCTTTTTTTCTTAGGGTGTAACAATAATTTATTTTTCATACTGTGAAATGTGAGTTAATAACTTGCATACAAGAGGTCGATCATCTAAATAGAATATATTCTGTCACTCAAGTTATACTATGTATTTTCATGCACATTATATAAAAAATTTAATTCAAATTTCATTTTCTAAGGTTTCTAGAATATTTTAATCATTTTGAATGCGATAATTTGACCATCTAAATAGCACATATTCTCTCACCAAAATAATCTTTAACTCTTTATATGTACTTTCACTTATATTATATAACTAATTTGATTTAAATTTCATTATTTCAAATTTTTTAGGATATTTTAATTATTTTGAATGCGAGAATCTAATCATCTAAGTAGCATATGTACTCTCACTTGAATGAGTTTTAACTTTTTATATGTACTTTCACTAATGTTGTATAACAAGAAAGTGGATAAATATTCATCAGTTAGCGATATTTATATTTTTATAATAATATTTGTAATTTTTAAAAGTTTATAATTAACTGATATGGAGTATACGCGCAAAGCGCGTGCCCATAGACTAGTAAGTAAAAAAGGTGGCAAAATATCATTCAATCTTTTTACAACTTTTGTTGAAAAACATTCAAGTCACCAATAAATTTTTAAAGTACAATATTTTTACATAAAAATATTTCCACTAAAAAGAAAAAAAACAGGTCCAACTTAAACTAGAATTCAAACAATTACTCTCATTGGTTGATTCATACAATAATTGTAACTTAGGACCAGCCACATGAACGCATACATTTATGACCGAAACTATACGGGTCCGGAGTTAACCCGAACAACTCCCAAATTCCCTCTCTTCTCAAAACCCCCCATTCAAATTGCCCTAATTAAGCCCCCGGAATTAACTAATTCTCCATTCTTCTCCGGCAATTCACTGGTACAAAAACCCTCTGCCACCCACGCCGGAAAACCATTCGCATCTCTTTCCAAACGAAAATCCTTCACCCTGTGGAGAACCAACAGGTAAAGAAAAAATCGACCGTTATTGTTGTCAATCGAAACGGTCACTGAGTCGACTCGGATAACTCGGACGAGTCGTACTCTGCTGAATTACTGAAACCTTAAACTGAACTCATAGTGTTTTATTTTGTTCAATATTGATTAGTTTGTAGCTTACTTTGTTTTGCTTCTTTTAAAGGTTGGAAGCTGAGCTGAAACTTGATAAAGAGTAGAAAAAGAGAGAATTCTTGTGTGGAGAATGAGCTGAGTTGAGAATGAGTAGACTCTCATTTAGGCCGCGTCCACTTGACATTCA